TTATTAAAGTAATGCAGCCATGTGATGATATGTCAACTTTAGGTGGCATATTTCTAAATTTCCTCAACAGCACAATTTGTTTTTGGCCATCACTGCTGCAGAAGGACTTGTCTTTTTCTTCAGTCAAAGCAGAACTACAGGATGTTTTTCAAAAGTAACGACAACATGGTTAATTATCATATCCTTACTGATCCTAACATTATTTCCCAATGAATATCTGAACTATGCCTCGGTCAGAATAGGCAGAGCAATCAGTTCACAAGTGGGTCCTGTAGCTCGTTCTTTGTTTGCAGAAGTAGATTAGGATTGCTTACTGCCCCCTGGGGGCGATTCTGAGTATGCCTTATAAAGTATATTCAAAATTAATTATTCATACCTTTTTGAATTAAAAATTATGCTGAACTGCTCAAGTATCCTAAACAATGAAATAAATGGGCTATTTGAGAGCATAATTAGAATACACACAATTAAAACATCTCTTAGACTTGTTTGTTTGCAGCATATTTATTATACATCACCAAATTGCATCAAAGAAATAACACAAAATGGTATATATTTCTCTAACAAGACCCTAACTTCATATTATGGCTCATTTTACTTTTCATGTACACCAATATATAGAAAAACACGTTATTTTTTTCAACAAAGAAGAGGGCTTTTTTTGTCTCGACTCATATTTTGTAATCTTTTTGTTGCTGAGTCATACACAGTCATACATTTGTGGTTTAAAAAATGATGAGGACAACAGAGTTTTTTACAGCACATTTTATGTTCCATAAACAGATCAAGTGAATTCCCTGAGATTTGGTTTGATTAAGAGATCCATTTTTTTCTCACAAATCCAAAAGTTTAGATCTGTGCAGGGTATGTCATTCCAGCTGTCTTCAATGTCAAAAAACCTTATCTCCACACATTCTTCTGTTTTGCCTTCAAAACTGTTGGGTTCGCTAGGGCCCCAGTAACTGAAATGAAACAAACAAACAACAAAAAACAGCGTTGATTAATACAACAACAAAAAACATCATCATAACGGGTTCAACTTGACACACTTACGCACAACTGAACATAGAACAAGTTCAAATCATATCGGTAAAACAAATATTGCAATAATTAACACGTGACCCCATAATAAAACAAATAAAATACTCTTTGTTCAAAGGAGTCCCATCCACCCAGGTCCACTGATTTGTTATGTTTCTCAGTCCGATCCATGTCAACCTGTTAAACTGTCTTATAAAGTTCTGAAAATAAGGAAAGAAATGGAGAAAATATAGCATTTATTCCAATTTTTAACAAATGCTCAATATGTACTTTCAGACAGTAACATAAACACTTGTACCTGCTCTTTTTTGGAGTTAATAATCACCAGATCTGCACCTCTTTGCAAACAGTCCAGTCGACTGTTCTCCCAGGATTGTTTGGTGGAAGAAATGTAATAGAAACTTGGATGTAAATACACCCATCCTTGTTGAAAATACTGAGCTGTTATGAAAAACATGATTTTATATATCAGAAGTCTGCCCAGATTTACACATAACGTTTCCAACATGACTTTTTTCTTGTTCTGTATATTTGTGTAGAACCAGATTGGTGCCTAAAATTTTTAATTAAAGTTTTAACACAGTTTTGTCGTCTCACTCACCGCTCTGTTTTCTGAAGCCATTTATATCTGTTGTCACATTTTGGCACACAGGCTGAGGACCTGATGATATCTGATTGTCTGAAAAAAAAAAAAGTCAACTACAATTCAAAACAGGTCTAAGTGTATTACAATATACAGTGCTGGCTCCAGCCATTTTGGTGCCCTAGGCGAGTTGAAGCGCACCCCCCTACCCCAAACTATGTCCCACCCACCCCAAATTGAAACCCTAAAAACAAGTTTGACAGTTTACTATGGTAAACAACATACATGTCAACTTGTACGATTTGTCCGTAAGTTATAAGGATTTTACGTCATTTTGCAGGTATACGGATGTATAGGGCAATGTCACCGATTTTTTCAAGTCTTATGGATTTTTTCAAAACTTCTTTTTCAAATTTATCTAACATGTCAGAGCCTGTAGGATGTTTTAAAAACAATAAATAACATCAAACAGCCATCTTCCAACCTGTTCTGCCACTAGAAATAAGTTTTGAACTTTTTCCGCTCTCCTTTCCTCTTGCTTCGCAGCGGGTGCTTTCATGCCCTCAGCAAGGCTGACCCCCCAACCTCACCCACGCAGGTGCGAGTTGTATGGATTTTTTTGTGAAATTTACAGATTTTTGAGGCTTTTTTTACAGGTAAACGCCCAAAGAGGTTATGTATGGAACAACAAAATACAGACTTGTTATTAGTGAGTTTGACAACACGAACCACTACCTGAGAGGGACTACTAGCCCCTCCCCCATCAGAGTGACGGAGCAGGATGAGTCAATGCAACGTCAATCAAATGAGAGAGAGGGTGGGGGTGATTGCTGCATTGGGGTGTGGAGGGAATGTTTTATGGGTAGAGTGGTTTATTTTTCCTGTAATACTTCATTATATTTTTTTTAAGACAAAGCTAATTGAAAGGGGTGCTGAGCAGAGTTACAACCAGGGATTACAAATAATTTCTTTTTTTTCTTCTGCAATTTGGCACCCTGTCCAGCAGATGGCGCTCTAGGCGACCGCCTAGTTCGCCTATGCCAAGAGCCGGCTCTGATAATATACCTAAAATTGAAGTAGGTTTGTTTTGCAGGAGGTCATAAATATGATGCAGTAACAACGAGAAAGTTCCCCTCTTGTTTCACAAGTGGTTTCTGTCTGCTTTCATTTCTTCCTTCTTTTGTAAAAGTTCATCCAATGTTTAAAGGTTTCACAAGTTGCGTTTCCTAACATCACTGGTCTTTTTAACAGTGAGTATTAAGTCATTCTCACCTAGATAAATAACAGTTGCTTAAAAAATGAGCTAGAATTTATCTGCAGTGCAGAATAAGTAAAAATGTTCATTTTTGTCATAAGTAGGACTAAAATAGAAAAAACAAAAACAAAAAAACAAAAACGAGTCTATAAAGACAATTTGTTGATCCTAGTAACAAAAAAAAAACCTAATTTGGTTTTAAATCAAAGTTTTATAAGATGTTTATCTTCAGAAATAATTATTTGTCTGATAACATTTTTAATTATATTTTTAAAATAATCTTTTTTATTTCTGCCAGCTGCCAAGCACTGGGGAAATCCCATCAGTAATGTTTTGTGTCACTGTGAAGCTTGGGCATTCCCCCAATAATTCTAATGACAATAATTCTAATTGTCAATATAATTATTTACCATAATTTCTAATGACAATACAAACAATCTTTCTGCAGTAGTTAGTTCTTATTGTCGTTTGTATGGAAGGCTCTTCAGTATATCTGCAAATGAGGGTATTATTATGAAATCTGACATCAGTTTTGATAACTAAGCTTGATTAAACCAAAAAGCTCTAAGTATTTAAAAGAAAAACAATTACATTTTTCCTGTTTTAAAAGTTGTTTTTTGTTGCTGCAACCCTGGAGACGTCCTGAAAACACTTCCTGGTTTGACAGCAGTAAAAACACAGCTACTCACACAGAACAAGACGCAGAGAAATGTTGACAGCAGCTTGTAGGACACACAGCAGTCCAAAACTAACAGCAACCACTCTGATCAGTTTTTCACCTGCAGGAAGAAAACACAATCAGAAAGAATTTAACTGTTCTGTTGCTGTTTCAGACACATTTTTATTTAACAAAACAAACTACAGATGGTTGGATAAATATTACATACAAGACACAGACAATGAAGGTAATTATCATGTTACTTTATGGATAATTGAACCAGATATTTTAAATGTTGGATAATTAGTTAGAAGAGAGAGTTTATGTCTTACCTGGATACACCTTGGTTTGCTTGTCAGAAAGGTTTCTGGTTGGTGCAGCAGGTTGATTCACGTAATCCATGTTAATCTGAGTTTGCTGAGTATGAACAACTCTCACCATCTTACCCAATGAAGACCGACTGAAAAAGACAGGATGTCTGTGTGGCACATTGTGCTTGTATGCAATCTACTTCACTTTTTGAGCATTTCTATTTCTTCACAATCTAGCACATGCTTTTTCTTCCTCTTTCAGTCACATGAAATGAAGTGTTAATCCTTGAAAGAAAATCAAAGGATTTTTTTTTCCATTTTTGCTCAAGTTTTTTTTCTTAACAACTTAGATTTATTAGACATTTTAGATATTTATTGCTTGCCTGTAGACGTCCCAATAATTATTCAGGGGATGTGTTACCCTCACATTTAAGGAATATTTATCTGTACCCCCACATTTAACATAAAATATTAGTTCACACAACAGTTTCTGTTGCTTCACTAAATAATCATTTCCACCTGATTGATAGGAGCATGCCCATACAGTTTAAATTCCCCTGCAGGTTTTTCTGGTAACGAACAACTGGCCACACAAACAATGAGGTGAATGTCAGGGCAGGCTACCATCAGCCCATTTTACAGATATCATCTCTGCTTAGCGTAAATTATTATGGTCCAGCTTGGGGGCAGCCGGTGCGTGATCTGAACAGTATGAAAATGGACAATGGAGATCAATGTGTCACACTTCTGTGTAACAATGATTGCAGATACAAGACTACTGTATATGTTCATTACCCAGCCCCACGGGTCATAATTCTCTGTTTTCTCTCGTTATATACAGGTTCTTCTCAAAAAATTAGCATATTGTGATAAAGTTCATTATTTTCTGTAATGTACTGATAAACATTAAACTTTCATATATTTTAGATTCATTGCACACCAACTGAAGTAGTTCAAGCCTTTTATTATTTTAATGTTGATGATTTTAGCAAAAAAGTGAAGAAAAATCAAAAATTCCTATCTCAAAAAATTAGCATATCATGAAAAGGTTCTCTAAACGACTTATTAACCTAATCATCTGAATCAATGAATTAACTCTAAACACCTGCAAAAGATTCCTGAGGCTTTTAAAAACTCACAGCCTGGTTCATTACTA